ATATATATATATATATATATTTGTATATCCTGTTAGACTTTTTGTGAGCTATAAATCCGAGAACAAAGTTTGGAGCATTTTTATTAAACTTATAGATTGTAATGACGAATTTTAACTCCACAATTAATAAGATTGTTCTAATGCAAGTTATTGTGCACGTATTTGAATCATTTGAATTATAATTACTTTCATTTTAATGCATTTTTTTGTTGGCCATCGTCAATGCTTTTTTTGCAGCAGTGGTGTACTGACTATGAGTGACATCTAAAAAGTCTCACTACTGCAGGAATTGAAAATATAAAATTTCATTTATACATCTGAGTAATATATAAATAAAGACCACAGAGTTTTTACTATATGTTACGTACTATTTAGCATAGAAAAAACCCTAATAATTACCTATTATTTGAGCGTATTAACGAAAAAGTTCCCTTAAACCCTAAAACAGGCGGCATACTTTTTAAATAGTGCAGCGAGAGGAATGCAACGTATATTCTGGACATAACTATTAATTATATATATTGATAAAAACAATTAAACCGTTTAAAAATACATCATAATGCTTTTTTGTATGTAAATTGTTTAAATTTCATCATAAATCAGTAGATAATCACAGTTTGAACCAATTAATTCTTTAACTTGTAGCCGTACATAATATACGTATTCCGCGGTACGACAGTCGTAGCTAGACACGTGTAAGGCTACGGTTACGCTAGGTGCGTATACAGCAGTAGTTATACTAGGCCGATTCTGGACCACGGATCCAACGGAAATATCGTTGATAACGGTATTGTACTCGTACATATCGCAGACCTAACCGGCTCCAACGGAAAGTTCTCATGCTGTTGCACGCGTACATAAGCCAGACCTGACCTTGATAACATTTTTGAAATTATTATGCTATTGCACTCGTACCTGCAGCAATCCAAACACCCCCGACTCCAACGGATTCGCATTCTTGGAATTATTATACAATAACGTACGACAGTCTCTCGCGCTATTGCTCGCGTATATAAGGGGGAGACTCCTTTGGGGCCAACTCCGAATCGATCGAAGCGCTGATGTAAACAATCGGACGCTAGCGGAAACACAAAATCGAATTTGGGATATTTGACACAATGTGACTTGTGCAGCCATCTTGTGTGTTTTCATCGGCGTTTGTCACAATCGCACACTTTCTAAAATTCTAATTCTTTCAATTCTACGTGTTTATTGGTATTTATACGGATTAGACCACCCTGTAGGGAAGTCTACCCGTGAGTTCTATACCCGTGAAAAGTTCATTTGTGCAATTGTTGAGGCAGAAGTTGGAATTTACGAAATCGATTGTCTCTCTCGTGCATCGCGTATACATACACGATTCTCGTTGATTGTGTGAGTGCACGGGCCAGCGCACGGGCCACGGGGTCTCTATTAAAATTATAACAAATAAATACTGTCAAATAAATACTGAAGACAAAACTAATATTTTTTTTAGGATTATGCAAGAATATTACCAGAAGACATAGTCTTTACTACTGCGGCTAAATACAAAATGTACATAAACAAAATTTTGTTGATTCCATTATTGGATCTTCTTCAGATACGCAAAGAGAAACATTTGAATTATACAGAATTTTTAAATCTTTTAAATTGGAAATTTGATTTTCCAACATTACCAAAAGTAGATAGTAATGTATTTTAATATTATTTCATACCTCACAGTTTTACAGAAAAATGTATACAAAAGTATTAACATTAACCGTTTCTTCTATCAAACTTTTTTAGGAATGCCTTTAGAATGTCAATACTACAACACTGTATACAGGGACACAATTGGAAATGTAAAAGAAATAAATACCACAAGTTAGTATATTGTATATATAAATTTTAGTATAGTAATGATGAAATAGGAAATTCTATAGAATTAGTGAATTATACAAATTCTACTTATTCAATTTTATGTATATACGATGTGAGTCATCTAATTGTAAGAGTAGAACCTAAAATGGCTCCGTTATTTTTAACTGCACACGAAAATGCGCAGAGAAGAAAGTATTAGTTTCAAAAGGGTAAATATTGAGACAATGAAGATTTTTTTCTCAGGGTCACATTTCCCGAGATTTCAAGGTCATCTAATTTTTTTTATGGAATGGTATATTTTATTAATGTCATATTGTAGCCGATAGAAGAACAAATTCATCCATGTATAATATGTTGATCTTCAGATGACCTCTTGTGAAGTGATTCTTATAAAATTAATTTAATGTATACAGGTAATGTAATGTTTATATATTTAATATTATTAAATGTAAATAAATGGGCTATCACAGAATATGTTCAAAATAATGACCGTTGGCATCTACACACTTTTGTAATCTAATCCTAAAAGAATGTTGCACATTACTTAAAATCTCTAGGATAATATTCTCACATTCTCTAGTAATACGTTGATACAAATTATCAGCAATTGTTGGCGCATTGACATAAACCTTATTTTTCAATGTTCCCTGCAAGAAGAAATCAAGTGGGTTCGAATTTGACGGACATCTGGCCAGTGAACAAGTCCACCTCGTCCAATTTAGCGAGGGGCCAAATTTCTGTTCAATTTTTCCATCGATATTCTTGCGTAAAAAGCAGAACAACCATCCTGTTGATACCACGTATTCATACGATTTTGAATAGGTACCATCGCGAACAAACTCGGCTTCCGCTAGGGGAAAAAGTGATGTAATTGTAAGGGAAGGGACTCCTACCAGTTTATTTCGGAGTTACTGAAAGTTATGCCAAATTAACATTTGTTTCAGTATTTGAAATCAATTTATTAACCCTCCGAGTACTGGACTCGCGGGGCATCCGAGGCCGGATCATTTCTGACTCACATCGATAAGTTACTAATGCAGTGTTCCAGTTAAAAAAAATGCAATTGTATTTTGCATTAAGAAAGATCATACAGTTCTAGGATAGAGCTTGTTAAACAGTGCAAAATTTTCCTTTACGATTTTTCTAATTTCACTTGGAACAAAATTATACCTAGCCCAGTTGCTAAAATTACGTTGTATATCAAAATAACATGTCTTTATGTTATTAGCTCCCAGTCATGGACTTGAAAATAAACTATTAATTATCTAGAATCTAGAACAAAGTTAAAATTGTAAAAGTTGTAGGAATGAGCTTTTGTTTGAAATTACAAATTGCAGACTAACACCATTAAGGCGAAATATTTATAGTATTATAACAAATTCATTTATTTTCATAGGTACTCTTAGTGCAGGAGTCATGTCTGGAATTTGGGAAGACAAAACAGCTACTGCTTACAGTCTCATATCTCCAACTGTGTTTACAAAACATGGGCTAAGCTATATCGATCTTACTAAAGTATGTTTAAAAGTATTAATCTATATAGAAATATCTTGAGATACACGCATAAGGTTCTAAGAAATACTAATAACATTGTACATTTATGAATACTTTCCTATAGCTTCGTAGCAAAGAAGAAATAAAAAGTATATTTGAAAATATTGGAGTTGAATTTCCTGACAACAGTTTTACTTTACTTTGGGAACAAGGATTAAAAAAAGATGGAACACAGAATTTATGTGTGGAAACTTTTAGAGAACTGCTTGATCAAAATAGTATAATTAATAAAAATAATTTGTAATTCTCAATGACCATTTAAAATGTAACACACGTTATTTTTATCAGAATTACTATATACTACAAAGAAAATAAAAAAATATTTTTAAAAATTCTCCATATTTGAAATATAAAATTTACTTCACCTATACATAGAGTAGACATACGATTTCTGCACCAGTCGGGGCTGTAAAGGGCTAAATTTTCAAGAACCGTGAAGGAATCGGTGACCAATTACCCGAGCGCTTGTGAGCAGTTGTACGACGCAGCTGCATATACGGTGGGCTGGATATACGCACTTTACGGTTATGTTAATTATCTCCATTATTTTTAGAGATATCAGAAAAGTGTATTCACAGAAGTTTTTTAGTATCTTTGAAGTTCTTAAAGTTAATTATGTTCTTTTATTAATGATATTGAAATACTTTGTAAATGATTTATGTTTTTCGATTATGATTTATGATTTATGAATCTATTGAATGATGTTTTTTACATTATAATTTAAAATAATTTTAATATTATTAACTTTGTTTATTTTACTTAATAAAAACATAACGTACGAAGAAATGTGTACTGAAGATTGTATTTTTAATCCTGTCCAACCGCAAGATTCGATTTGGAATCGTTAACTTATTTAGCATTTATAGTTTATATCATGAACCTAAAGATTCAATATGGCATCGTATCGTATAATTGTTTGTGGATAGACGGAAAAGTTCTCGAAAATATCATTCGGGACCCGAAGATCTCACGGGACCCGACATCTGTCGGGATTCCGGCCGCTCACGCCCGACTTGTCCCGACCCGACCCGAGTCTCGGGAATCCCGTGATTTTGGGTACCCGCACACCCCTCGTATTTAACATTAGGTACGACATTAAATATTCCATGTAGCTTATAAACATGTCCACGAAATGAAAAAATGCAGAATAACCTTAAAGTTCTTATCTGACTTGATTCAAAACGTCGTATTAACACTTTAGTAAGTACATATTTACGAGCCGGAAATAATTGCTGGAGAAAGCAGGACAAACATCTAACAATAAGATTTTAATATGTATATACATATAGAGTGTCTTCTTTAATGTGATAACTCGAAGTATTTCCGTGATTCTTAATGGTAAATGAAAATTAAAAGAAAACTATTATTTAACTTAAAAAACAACTATTACAATTGTTCAATAATTTTCTTAAGGTTTTCAATGGGAAGTATATTGTTTAAGTAATATGTAATTTTATTTAAAAACCAGAGAAACAAAAAACGGAACGCAACGGAGTTATTGCATATTTTCTTAATGAAATCATGCAAGTCTTTTTATGATCGAAAACGACGGAGAGGTTTTGGATGGTCAAGGTAAAGGGGACACTGTACATGTGTACTTTACGCAGGCCCAGCCAGTGTAAAGACATTTCAAGTGTCCAATTATATTGTTTGGACTTAACGGTATCGGGATTTCATTCAACGACTAAGTATGAGCAAGAAAGATAACACCTGTAACCAAGAAAATATTTATACCAAACATAATGTACTATGATTGAAGTTATTTATGTATTATAGTTAAAACAAAATAATATGAAAGTTATGTTATTGTTTTTTACTTTGTCTTATTGTAACGGAACCTTTAATAGAGAAAATAAATGTCTATTAATCCTCGTTTTTATTACTAATATTATAAAGTTATAACTGATGTTTTTAATCTGAATTTACATATACGCCCGTAATCCATAGTTATAATTAATATACAATCGTATTTGTTGTACTCAATTACAATTTTCATTTTTTGTTGCAGCTTGGGAATTCTACTAAATGTATTTATGTACTCACTTGTCAGCGAAGATATTTCCATTTTTCAACTTATAATACACTTATGCATTAATCTACTTCTGTTTTATTGTAATGCATTTACATATCGACGAAGTCTATTATCCAGTCACTTAAGTTATAAATTATTAATGTCAAACGTAATATTACAATTTAAAACCGTAAAGATGGAGTGCGAAATGTTACAATTTGCTTTTAAGATAGAAATATAAGAGAAACACACAACGATCGTGGTTAGAATATTTAAACGTACTATAAAAAAACTTCCTAAGCCTCGTAAAAATGGATGCATACTCTTAAAGAATAAATCGAAAAATTCGTACGTCATTATTGTAAAGTTTTATGTGATTTCGGTTCTTGGCCTTCTACCATTAGAAGATGAACCGCAGAAATTCGGTTCGCGGTAAGTGAACAATCCTCCTCGGGGCCGGTGTCTGCACAGCAGGTTGTGAAACGATGGAGGGAGATCGGCTTGCATGATCGGCCTAGCAAACTCGGTTCTGGTAGGTATTCCGCTTTAGTACGCGGGCTAACCAACATCACTTTGTGACCGGTGTATGCACGTGGATACTTCTTTTCCACATTCATTCGCGATTTTTCTCCGTTCGACAAGTTTTTCTCCCATAGTAGAACGAGACGGTTGCGACTGCAATCTCTTCTAGCGAAAGCTTCTATCTGGTTACTATAAAATAAATGCCGGAACATTGGTGACGCTTTACATGTAAAACCACTGTGCTCTTTTTCGCCAGAGATAAGTAGTTACTATTCGTGTATCAACAATTGATTCTATATACTCTTTCCACTGTCCGGTACTTTCTGCAAACGAAGTGAATTTGTGCATGTACACGACAAGAAGTGAAATCTTCCTCGAGTGGAGATTTGAGACGGGCTTCGATGTGTTGATTTCCTGACACAAAGGTACCGTTCGTTGCACGTACACGTGGGATTTAATGATCGGCGGATAGGATTGTTAACGACGACACAGTTCGAATATGTCACCTACGATCTCGAAGATATTGGGCGGAAGTGTCGGGAACGGAACAAATGCGATTTGCGAGAAAGATCATGTAAGTACCGAGAGGAAATAGTATAAAGATACCGAATAGATGATTTGTTTTAGTAATATAATTACCAGTATTGAATATACACTAACGTAAATTTTATCATATAATACATAATGTTCAATAAATCATAATTTAAGTTAAATTCTGAGGAAAGTCTACAGTCAGTGTCATTTTCTACTGTAATCTGTCAACTGTTTTTAAAACTCTTTTTAAAATTAATTCGTTTCGACGCGAGAATTCTCGTGAATTCCATTTGTGTTCTTTCAGGTTGTCCGAGGAATACGTTAAATTTAATGAAACGAATCCAGCAAAGTGTATTAACCGTGTCATTTCCGTTACTTGATTGTAAATTATGATTCCTTGAATAGTAAATTACTGTGGTAAGAGAACGGTAGCTTTCCCCCGCTATGCGTTCTTGCAAACTTTGACCGTGATAGGATTTTAAAATTGTTCACGTCAGAAGATACATAAAGAAAGTAATTTCTACGATGTGTGAGCCTTTTTTAAAATAAAAAACGTTTTTCCCATTAAATGATCTTTTTCTCGATTTTATGAAGCAATGAGCATTCTCATGACAGAACAATATTTAAAAACAATACAAGACCGTAAGATTCAGTTTAGAATAGTACTCACGTCGTACAGACATCTTATTTACTTCGTCGATTTACAAACGAGTATATATGACAGAAATAAGTATTAAAGACGATACACTATATGTGACATTAAATATTAATTGTTTATAGGAATGAATCGAACAATTTTTACGTTTAATATTAGTAGGATATTTATACTAAATAGATACTATGTACGTAAAAAGGGGATGTCAATCAACGTTGTGGGTGGATTAGTTAGGTACTTAATTTAGAATTAGTTAATTTAGAATAAATTTGAAGCTTTGCATGGTAAAGATCTGTTTATGTTATTAAAAAGTAGTTTCATTCCAAGAATATTCAATATTAAAACTGGAATAGTTATTTTGTATAGGTAAGATTGTGTACACATAACATGCATGGAATGTAGCTCTTGTTATTCTTCGATACTTTATATGTTAATATCATTTCTTTGAAATGAAAGACACGTACGTTTAATATTACTTTTTTTTCTTGTTCCTACAGTTTCACGAATGCAGAAAGTATGTTTCCTCAGACACTGCCAATACGTATGTTTCTTATTTGTTGGCATATATTATTCTTATTTTACCTGAAGATTAATACGATTCAGTATTACCAAGGTCATTAGTTATTTTGTTTTATTTCAATGACATTATGTGTATATAGATACAGAGTGATATAATAAAATGTGGTTTGAAAAAATAAAACGTTTTTGTTTTGAGAAAATATTGTAATTGATATACTTTGTTTTGAGCAGGAATATAAAATTAATGTACAATACAGTGTGTGTTTAAGTAGGAAGACATTTTTAAAAGAAATAGATTGGAGGATAAAATCAATCAAAATTTTGATATAAAATTTTTTCGTCCGAGGCTTTGTTTTCGAACAAATCGAGTTTGTAGATTGGTCAGATACGCGTACGATTAGGAACGACTTGGCTATCAAGCCATCATTGATCGTTACTGATTGTTTCTGTTCATGTAAGTGTTTATAAACATTGACAATCGTATAGTTAAAATAATGCAAGAGATTTTTGCAGATTATTCATTTCATTGTCGTGTTATAAGTATTTTTCAAATCTCTCGTGGTTGCATACAAAATTCTGCCCGATGAATGAGAAAAGCATGAATGTGGAAAAAGGCATTTTCAACAATACTTGTAGCACAATAAAGGAAGTAATTAACCTACAGAAACCTGTTGTTATATTTGAGCCATGTTACTGTTAATGTTTATAAACCAACATGGAGAGAAACCATCAGTAATGGCAATAGCTAACTTATACTCAGTCGTACGCGTATCTGACCAATCCTCAAATTCGATTTTCTTGAAAACGAAATTTCAGACGAACAAATTTTATATCATCATTTTTTCATGTTTTTTCACGTAAAATCACCTCCTTTCCGGTTATACTACGATTTCTCACACACCTTGTGTATTATAGACGTAGTATAACTTTGTATGATTAACAATTATAATTTGCATAAATTAGATGAAATAAAGATGGAAAATGACGTGTCGTGACCTATTAT